CTCCTCCTCTTGTGGTATCAATCACATGCTACAATTAATATCAATGTAGATGCTATGGATATCGTAACAAAGGAGGGTGAGCGTCATGAGTCCCTTGTGGAGGCAGCTGCTGAGGACAATGCGGTCAGGGCCAAATTAAATCATGCTAGGGTAGCGACAACATCAACACGCTCGAGGGGTGGATAAAAATTGGCAGATACTTTTCAGAGGAGTTGTGGAACTTCTCAACGCTGAAGATGTTCATAAGATACTACACTTCGAGGTGACGGCCAAGACGGGAAGCCGACCTGCCAAGAGGGCTAAGCCTAAGAAGCGTTCTAGAACGCAGTAGGATGGTTCAGCAGGCTGATGGAATATGTACATTTAGGAGTGCCGAGGAGGAGGGTGAGGGAGAGGAAGCAGCGGAGGGCATTATACGGCAACGAGATGACTTCTATCAGAACTTCCTTACAGACTATAACATGACGAAACTATTGGAACCATCTCGAGGATGCTTCATTGAAGCTGTTGAGGTAGTGGATACAGGCAGGCAAGGGCCTCTCTAGTGACCATATCATCGTTGGACTTACGATCGTTAACGCTTACAAGATCTCTGCAGATACTTCGGTTGCTGAGCCCAGCGGCATACAAGCATGTTAAGGATAAAGTGGTACGGTTCGTGAAGTCCACATCATCTAAATCTACGAAGAAGGTTGAGGTTGATGATGGAGAGGATCAGAATTACTATGTGAGTGTGGTGGATAGCATGTGGAGGTTGCCTCCATTGCCCTTCCCTCAGTATGGTATGCTAAGGTTGGCCTCTGCATGGGATGTGTCGAAGGATGCCATAACCAACCTAGCTAAGCGTATCTCAGCGTGCTCTACCATCATTAACAGCAGTAGGCATGGCTGCTTATCGTAGCAGAAACAGTTATCTTTTGGTTGTTCTCAGAAGCTGACGTGAGGCGTCAGGTGGAGGTTGTCAATAACAGCCTAAAGGCTCTCAATGGCCCTCTGAGAGCTATACTGGATCTCAGGCTTCCATCTGAGTATCTCCTACCTCTACAGGACCCGGCTGTAGAGCTCATACAATCTTTGGTGGTGTTTGCTGTTATACTGATCACTGCTGGACTTATGTTACAGGTCGATCGCCTACCCTTTGGTCTTCCTATTGAAGCCCAAGGCGACATATGCTCAGCCTTCTCCCTCGCCATATACACTCTTCTTAGCGTTCGTCTCCAAGCCGCCCATCCAGTAGTGGTGGTGGTGCGGCTGCTGCTGCTCCTGCTGAGGTAGCACCATAGAGCTCATTGCAGT